GTTTAATCATGAGAATACTTCAAGTTCTATAAATTCAGCGTCATCTAATAGTTCCAAAATGACCTGCACATATTGTGGGAAAGACTATCATACTGAGGCAAATTGTTACAGGAAACATGGATTCCCTCCAAATCTTGGTTTCGCTAGAGGTGGTAGAGGAGGAGGCAGAGGTAATTCTGGTAGAGGGGGGACGAATGGTAAAATTTTACATGGAAAAGTGTGCACACATTGTGGAAACGCTGGACATACAGTTGATGATTGTTATAAGAAACATGGTTATCCCCCAGGCCATAAATTTAAAAAATCTGGTTCTGTTGTTAATAACACTGTGAAGGAAGAATTAGTGGTTGCAGGCTCTAGTAACATGAAACAAGAAAGTCCAATGGCAGATGTCAAGTTGACTGTTCAGCAATATCAACAACTAATGAATATGTTACAGTCACAAGGCAGCAATTCTGCATCAAGCACTTCTCACATAAACCAAATTTCTGGGTCACAAACAGGTAATCGTACACTTACATTTACTTGTAATGTGAGTAAACAAGATAATTGTTCATGGATCTTGGATTTCGGAGCCACTGATCATGTGGCTTCTTCATTACATTTATACTCGAAATATAGGAAGATTAATCCCATTCTAGTGAAATTGCCCAATGGTCACCAAGTTCAAACAACACATGCCGGCACTATATATTTTTCTGATGAATTTTACCTCGATGATGTTCTCTATCTACCATGTTTTCAGTTCAATTTATTATCGGTTTCTAAACTTGTATCTTCTCTACCATGTAAATTGATTTTTGCCTCCAATAAGTGTGTCATACAGGATTTACACAACCAGAGGATGATTGGTATAGTTGAAGCTACTGAGGGGTTGTACAAGCTGGATCGACTTCCTCTTCAGCCATCGAATACTAATTCCAATTTAGTAGCATCTGTTTTTAAAAAGTCTCTTCTCACATGTAATAAATTTCCACCTGACATCTGGCATTACAGATTAGGACACCCCTCAATTGAGAGGATGCAAATATTGAAACACTCTTTTCCTAGTATTGATTTTGATAGAAACTTTGTATGTGATACTTGCCACTATGCTAAACAGAAACGAATTTCTTTTCCTAACAGCGATTCGAAGTCTGTTTCCGCATTTGATTTGATTCATGTTGATATTTGGGGCCCTTGTAATGTTTCCTCTATGCATGGTCACAAGTATTTTTTAACTATAGTGGATGATTACACACGGTTTGTTTGAATTTTCTTAATGTGCTCTAAGGCCGAGACACGATCCCTTTTAAGGAAATTCATTATGAATGTTGAAAGACAATATGGGGTACAAGTTAAAAAGATCCGATCTGATAATGGGTCTGAGTTTATAATGAGAAGCTTCTATGAGGAAACAGGAATTATTCACCAAACCTCCTGTGTGGAAACACCACAGCAAAATGGCATTGTTGAACGAAAACATCAACATCTTTTAAATGTCACCAGATCTTTATTGTTTCAAGCCCATCTCCCACCAATTTTTTGGTCATATGCCTTACTACATGCTTCACTTCTCATAAACTGCATGCCAACTCCATTCCTTGGTAATATTTCTCCTTTTGAAAAGCTCCATCATAAACCATATGATCTCTCTGTTTTGAGGGTATTTGGATGCTTGTGCTATACCAACACTTTGACTATTAACAGGAAGAAGCTTGATCCTCAGGTTGTCTCATCTATTTTCCTTGGATTAAATCCAACACAAAAGGTTATATTACATTTGATCTTAACTCCAGATCCTTCAATATCTCTAGAAACGTAATTTTCTATGAGACTTGTTTTCCTTACACGGCCGAAAGCAAACCTGAATCCTTTGATGTCTTGCCACTACCTCAAAAAACTGTTATACCGTTCACCATTGAAAATATAGTCTCTCCTACACCAAGTAATAATACTCATTCTCCTATGGTTGAACCTAGTATTACCCCTGACACACCTATTACTAATGACACTATCACCTTGAGAAGATCATCCAGACAATCCCATAGACCCATCAAATTCAAAGATTTTCACACCTCTTTCCTATCATCAACATCTTCTCAAAAATCAGGAAAGCAATATCCTATTGGAGTCGTTCTTTCATATGAACGGTTGTCCCCATCTTATAGAAAAGCTATTATTAATATCTCTGAGAGTCAAGAACCAAGATCCTATATTGAAGCAGCAAAATATCCACATTGGATAGAAGCCATGAATTTTGAGATTCATGCTCTTGAGTCTAACCATACTTGGGTGCTTACTGATTTACCACCTAATAAATCAGCAATTGGTTGCAAATGGGTTTATAAAGTCATCTCCTTAAAGAGTATTTTAACAAGTACAATTCAGGTTAAATATTTATTATATAAAACTAAAATTTAAAATAAATTATACGTATCTCCGTTACCGGAATAGATTGTCGTTATCGTCAATTTTTATATATATATAAAACTTTTGTATATTTTATTAATTATTATCATGTAATTTATGTAATTTTTATATATAAAAAAATTAAATTATAAAAATAATGTATACTCCAAAATAGCAAATTATTTTTATATAAATTATATTTAAATTTTAAATAATTACTTTTAAATTTATACCGAAGCATTCACAAGTTACGTTCTTACTCTTGTCTCGGCATGGGCGCATTAATTATTGGGGAATAACTTATTGGGCTTCACTTTTTACTCACACACATTTTACTCGGGTGTGAATGTTGGGCTTCACTTTTTTCTAAAATTAATTATTTAAATTTGACTCATTTATGTGATTAAATTAATTTGACTTATTAAGATTAAATTAAGCTTAAATTTAATTTTTTTAAGCTCATTTATTATTTATTAATTTTTTAATAATTTTTTTCTTAAATTTTTTTAAAAATTTTATAATAAAGTATTTAAAAATTATTTAATACTAGATAATTATCTACTACTAAAAAAATGTTTAATATGTGACATGTGAAATTAAAATAAATTAAACTATTACATTTTTCATAATTTAGTAAATTACAAAACACAACATATTGACTATTAAACTTTTCTGTTTTTATAACTTTAACTGAATAAATGATAAACGATGAATAAAACATATTTTTAATAAAAATTACTAGTAAAAGATTATATAAAGCTTATTTCATAATATATATATATATATATATATATATATATGAAAAACGAAATTTGAATTGTTCCAAAAAAAACATAAATAAATTGAAAAATACTTCTTTTGTGAATAAAAAAATAACTACACCTTACTATTTACAAAATATTAAATTAACTTTCATAACAAAAAAATATTAAATTATACATATAAATAAAGCATAGAGAATATTTGAAAAAAAAATATTTATTTATGGAAATATGATTTTAACTTTTTGTTTAATTTAAATGAAATTTATATTTAGTTTATGAATGAACTCTTATTTTAAACGTATCTTCTGTAGAAATTAAAAATTAAAAAATATTAATAAATGACAGTGATCACTACCAAAAGGAAATAAATGAAAATCATCAGATACTAGCAAAAGTCAAAAACAAACAGAAAAACTAATTAAATCTCATAAATTAGATATTACTGAATTAATTCTTAATTGTTAAGTAACTTTGGAACTGGTGAAAAAAAAAATAAAAAAGTAACTTTGGAACTACTTTAACGTTGAAGAAAATATCAAATATTATATTAAACGTTAAACAAATGTCGCTGCTTCAAAGTCAAATTATCAAATCAAAACTAAATTGACGTAATAAATAAATCCAGCGCAAAATTTATTTAAACTTAACGAATAATAATAACTTTAGAAAATTAAATTAAAAACTGAAAAAAAAAACTTTCAATACTAAAAGTGTAACCTGACAGGTCGATTGGAGTGTTGGAGTAATACTAGTTCACACAGGTAAAAACGACGAATCTGTTCGATCATTTTGTTATGAATGAATCTGTTCGATCGCATTATCTATTACATGTGTTTTTATTTGGTGTATATATATATTTTTAGATAATTTTATTTTTAAATTTTTAAATAATAAAAAATAATATTAAAAATCAATTATTTTTATAAAGATAAAATTTGAATTCAAATAGAATAAACAATTAGAAAAGAAGATTTAGAGTGGATAGAAGT